TGTTTTTTCGTCTATGGCTATTGCCACTCCCGAGCCGATTTGTCTTCAATACTGCCACATAGGGAACGCCTCCCACGAACCCGGTTCAGCCTCCCTGCAATTCCGACTCCATGTAGCAAAAACAAGCGCAGTCGTACAGCGCTTGCTATTGTGCTCTAATGGACCGTTCGGGTGCGAGTAAAAGACGAGAATCTCGGGAGCCAGGGCGCCCTGTCTGCATATGAAAACGTGTGCATATGCTCGCAGCAGCTTTCCGGAAGAGCATGCGCATGCAGACAACGGGCTTCTGGGAATAATGGGAGCCAGGGTGTCGTGTTCCTTCTAGCTAGACCTGCATTTGACGCAGAAGGCCGGTCGGAACGGGCCATGTACGGGCTGGATGCAGAGTTGTATTACTCCAGCCGAGGAACAATGAGAGGCGACGTCGGACTTGGCGAGAACGTAGGTATCATAAGCGTGGGGTTTGAGTGGCTGTGAGACCAATATGGAGGACGAAGATCAGCTGACCAGTCTAGTGCGCGTGACAGTATGATGTTCAACGTCTCGTACCAATTTGAGAGAAACTTGCAGAACAGGAGATGTCAGTCGCCTAAGGCGTAGCCGTCAAACCTGTCAGTGAGCACCCACCACGTCTAAGTGTCAACCTTCAGAACTGCCAAGTCAATGACTTCATCTACTATCATAGCGAATTTCTCGGAACTTTCATCGAATTACACCGTCTGTTCACAACATATCGTGTGTCCAGTAAGATTACCGCACTTTCAAATAAAAGATGTGCTCTACGAGGCACATCCCTTGCCATCTCGTTCATGACTGTGCCCAGACCATACCATCGACTTCAAGGAATATGCCTGGAAGATGATTGAGGTGCATTTGGTAGAAATCAATATTCGTCTCCTTGGTGGCTGATATCGTCTGTGCAGCTTCATTTCCAGGTTTCAGAGCGGGTGACCAACTTCGGTCGATCAATGCTTCCGCGACACTTCCACAACCGGCTTTAGAAGCATTCTACGTAACGTTTTCAACGTTCGAAGGATATGGTTGCACATATTGGCTGTCGTATTGCAGCGCTTGGGTCGAATAGTAAACATCGAGTATGTGGCTAGCTACCAACCTCAGAGAGCCACTCTATAGCACTACGCCCCCAAATCTAACTAATTTGGCAATTATCAAGGCTCGAATTAGTAGCGTGTCTGCACTACCATCAGTATTTCAGTATACGAACAGTACAGCAGCATCGTTAGCACTGCAACAATGCTCTGATGGCGGTGGTAGAAATAGCACTGCATCACATACAGCACGACATGAACATCCGTCACGAGAAACAGTAGTTTCACAGCAATACGGTCGTCGCAAAGCAGCATAGCGTACAGCTGAGCGTAGGAAGACTCGCTGCAGCCCGGGCTCACCATAGGCCGACCCGCAACCGGGATATCTCCTAGCTTTCCGTCAATAAGAATGACACGACTATTGAGGCAAGAAGCCAGCAGATCCATTGAATGCCATACCAGCCGTAGTGTACATGATGGTGATGACACCGCGCATGTATCTGTACATGCATGCAACAGGGCGAGCATTCTCTTGCGAGGATACCTTACAATGTACATGTATCAAGGTATGCGATGCATCAGCCGCTCCATACCATATGCTAAGCCCAATCCGACAAGCTACAGCGGGTGCACCGTTTACCATCATGTACGTCCAAGGCGAGACCGTGCGCCACACGACTCCATTCTTCAAGCATATCGTTAAAGTTTAACTAATGCGAGTAAACTTCAACCCTGAACCAAGATACGTGAAGCAGAGTAAACCAACAAGAGACACGTATCTCATCGGTAACACCGATGCACAACGAAGGACTTCATGATGATCTCGCCATGTACCGCCATGGTACCGGGGTATATCAGCGCGCTCCAATCAATTCGCTGAACACGTACTATGTGATCATTCGACGAGAAGAATTGTCAACGCTACTACCTTTAATCTTCCCCTCCTCTCAATGACAGTCCCGCGGCATTGGTAGCTGTCATAAGACGCGCATTCCCATGGTACCCGTAACTGCTAGCGAGAAACCGGGGCGGCGTTCTCAGCTATCTAGGTACACTTCGCCACAGCAATTCACCCCGCAAAACGTGTATATCCCAATCAAACCCCCCCAGCCCACCAAACCAGCCCTTGGCTCAGCTCGATTACCACCCATGTAACTGCACATCCGGTAACCTAAATTCTAGCCTCGCAGTACATTCGATCCACACAGCGGTGAGAAAGGCAAGTTTGTGGTGTGGCGGGGGTGTCCCCAGTCCGAATCAGGAAGTTGGTGTGTGGAGTGTGTGGGTGAGAATTGCTTTTTCGCATCCTCTCGCCTCGGTCCCGTTTCTCAACGTTGGTACATGTTAGCGAGGGCATCCTGGGAAAAGACTGGGCACGGGAATTGCGAGGCACATGAAGAAGTGTTGGTTCTTTCTCACCGCTGGTTTTGTCGTGCGCGAGGCTTGGGACGCTGATGCAGCTTTCGTTGAGGGGGTGGGTGGTTGTGGGAGAGATGAGGATGCCCCGCGATTTTTGGGAGATGGCCGACTGTTGTTGCTGCTTCTCGTGTCTTCAGAATCCGCGGAGGGCTTCAAGATGGTCCGAAGATCCGAAGTGTACCTAAATATGCTAGCGCTTAACGAATGTGCCTGTTATGGAACGGGGCTGGGGGTCGGCTTCCCCGGGCGCATGATCATGACAGAATTGGGTGAGGAGCACATTCAGTTTCTTGAGATGTAGGCGGGAGACGTTTTCCTTTTACGGAGGCGCATATGCTTGGATGCAGTCTGTTCGTAACAAAGGTTCATCGCTATATGCGACTCTGCAACGCCATATAGTCCGAGAGTCACTGTATGCATTTTGTTATAATCTAGACTGTGAAGACTCTAGTCATATCTCTCCTCCGTCTGCGAATGGTAAACCTAAAACTAGTTGATTACGTGATACTCTCTAGCACTATCGCTACCTCATTGAGAGGGAAACACTGTGGGTGCATCCATAGCGCCCGGTCTCCTATCTTCATCAAGTATGGAATCACAGTACTCATAGCTAATACCATCGATACTCAGGAATGTAGCTGCTCATACTCTCATTCAATTCCCTACGTCTATCTTCCAATCTGCCCATCAGTGCCACTTATCATCTCCTCGCTCTCCATCTCTCCATCTACATCTCACTCCTCCATCCCCCAAACATCCCCAACCCTAAATCCCACCGGAAAAGGATCCCCACTATCCACCAAAACCTGCCTGTACCCCGTAATCCACGCCCTCCCCTTGACTCTCGGTAGAATCGCCTCGTGATCCCCAACTTTCGTCGTACCCAAAATACTACACTGAAACTGCGTCCCAACAATACTCTTGTGGGTAAACTTCTGCCCAACTTTCAACAACCCCTTAGCATGCAACAACGCCATCCTCGCCGATGTCCCCGTCCCACACGGACTCCTATCGAACCTGCCCGGGCTCACCACCACCGTATTAACACTTGCCAAACCCCCATCTTCCCCCTTCACCACCGGCCCCGTGAACTCAATCGCACTAACCCCCCTAATCTGCGCATTCGCCGGATGAACAGGTTCATAAACCTTTTTCACCTTCTTAAAAATCCTCTGCCCCAATTCCACAAGCCGCCTCCCATGCCTATTCTCCACCCCAATCCCCGCCCCCAATTTTCCTACATCCACAAGCACAAAATACATGCCCCCCCACGCAACATCCACCTCCACAACGCCCAAACCCTCTACATCGATTTTCAACCCAATCTCCTGCACAAAAGCAGGAACATTATCAAACTCCACACTCCTCACCTTCCCCCCCTCACACTCCGCCCTCACCCGCACAACCCCCGCCGCCGTATCCAACACCACCCTACTAACCGGCTCCTTCATCTCCAACATCCCGCTCTCCAACAACACAGTCGTAACACATATCGTATTACTCCCGCTCATAGGCGCATACTCGTCGCTCTCCAGGATGAGGAAACCGGCGTCGGCGGAGGGGTCGCAGGGGGATAAGAGCAGGTTCATGCATTGTGAGACGCGGCCGAGCGGCTCTTGCATTAGGCGTTGCCGGTAGTGGTCTGCGTTGTGGAGGAAGTATTGGAGTTTGGCGTACATGGTGGGGAGGTGGACTGGGTCCGGGATGCCGGAGGTTATTACGTCGCCGATTTCGCCTTCGGCGTGGACGGTTGTTATGTGGATCATTGGGGAGGGGGGGTTGGGTGGTGCGGTGGGCATTTTGGTGGTGGTAATGGCGGAGGGTGAGGGTGGGCAGGGGAATGCTGGGGCTGGAGAGGGTGTTAGTATGTGTAGATGTGTTGGATAGGGATGATGTGTATCTGTACCGACAGTTCAGTGATTTGATATTGTTTCCCGTGTCTCTTCCTTGCATTCGATAAGTTGGTAATGCTGTATATCCAAACTCCACACAATCGGCGCCTGGAAGATGTCCTTCAACAAGTTAATATTTCGAGAGACTATATATCTATCACCCCAGAGATAAACAGAGTCAGTGTACTATCGGATCCTATACACGACCCACACAAATGTAGTCGTAGGGCGTGCTGAGCACAGCCAAGTGCTGAGATGCATACCCCGCTTCCTACAACGAGGGGTCAAGCTTACCTACATGTCAAGACGAACTGTGTTTATAAGCACACTACCACCAGCAACTCGGATCTGTGGATCTGAGCACTACATGTCGACAATATTACTATTACTATCCTAAGAGGCGACTCTTTCTCCCTAAGTTCTATGATATTACAAACAAGGACTTTGCTCTACAAAGCTGGACTGCTGTACTCAAACTTTTGATGCAGCGAACGCAAAGAATGGTATGTACACGCAGAAAGAAGTAGCCGATGACGATCGGCCTGCGATCGCACAAGCATGTATACACCTTAACCCCACCCATATCGTAACGGCATCTCAAAGTCCATCCAACATGCAATGATGCAGTTAGAAAGAACGTCTAGCGGAGCTTCTTCGTCTCAGAAGCATATGTACGATCGTTCTCGTCACCCTCAACTTCCTCGACCATCTTATCAACAGCCTCAGCCTGCTTCTTCCACTCGCTTTGGCACATCTTGAGTTCCTTCTGAAAGAGCTCGTCGTTGGGCTTCCTGTAGCTCCCACCAAGACGGTCCCAGAGCGTCGTGTATTGACCGTAGTTGTAGTTGAAGTATAAATGGTGCATGGTATGGCAAGCAGCACCATTGATGATAGGCGAGTTGTGCGCGTATTCGCCGTCGTGGATCAGGACGGTCCAGATGTTGACGAAGACGAAGAGGAAGACGTATGCGAATTTGGAGAGCGGGAATATGAAGGGGAAGATGTGGTAGGGAAGGCCCTGGGCGTAGCCGTCGGCGGGGTGGAACGCGTGCGAGGCGAAGGGCGTGGGCATGATCCACTTGTGGTGCGGCTTGTGGATGTGCTTGTAGACGCGGGGGTGGTGGAGGCCGCGGTGGATCCAGTAGATGGCCGAGTCGGTGAAGAGGAAGAAGAGCGGGAACTGAAGGTAGTTGTACCAGAGTCCTGGGCCTTGGTCCACGGTGTCGTATAGCTTGGAGTAGCCGCGGACTTCCAGCAGAAACCACGGTACGGTGAAGATGGCCATGATGGGGAAGGCGATGTTGGCCTGCTTCATCTCGAGCTTGATCTGGTTCTTGAGATATCGCGGGTGGTTGAAGGTGGACTTGTCGAAGACGAGGAAGTACGAGGCGCCGGCGAAGACATAGTATACTAGGACACCAAAGAGCCTGGAGAGTTGTTAGAGGAAAACTACGTAAAAGGCCAGGGCAGCGCATACCATGTGATGAGGTACAAGGACACCGCCTGTCGCCGCCAGTCGTCGCGTGTCCATTGGCTCATGTAGGCATACTTGGAGGGCTCGACGGAGAAGAATTGCGTCGAAGGCTCGTACTGCCAGGTCGCGTGCGGAAGAGCAAAGCCCGTGGGCTCCTCTCTAATGCTCGAAATCGTTGCATTGCCGACGAAAGAGGTTGTAGAAGCGGGAAGGAGGGTTGCGTAGAGAGGGTCGAAGAGAAAGGTGTCTGCTAGTTCGAGGACGACGTCCATGGCTGTTCAGGCTGGGGCGAGGGACGCCTCGGCGATCGGCGGATTCAGGTACGGAAGGCCTGCGATTCGTGATGTTTGATGATCAACGGGCGCACACAATGCAGGTACACGTCACAACAAGAGACAGGCAATAAGAGCAATGCAAAGAGAGCAGAGTATCTAGGATAGAGTATAAACGAATGTGGGGAGGCGAATGCTCTCGTTCAAGTAGGTAGTAACAACGGCAACGCTTCCATTTATCGGCGATAAGTTTTCGGCGCCCCGAGTACAAGCGTCCCTGAGGGAAATGTCGCCAGGGTCCATGTTAACTGCTTTGGTTCCTCAACCGTCGACGTTGTGCCAATCAAGCGTCAAGACGGCCGACTAGAGACGCTCACGTGACTACGCATCACAATCTCGCGCGCCGGAATCGACGCATCCGCTGGTTCCGAACGTGGACTGACAGCCCTACAGACGCTGCCCCTTATCAGATCTTCTCATCCGATCCTCGGAACATGCTCGGACGGTGACAGCACGGTTGACACGCCACTCTTGCGCTTACAAACCGTGATTGCGCGTTCAGTGGCGTGCATTTGTCTTGACTGGTAGTGAGAATCATTTATTGGTGGCATGGAAGGTTTGGTTCTAGGCGGTCTCGGCAGACCCTCTTGTGAGTCGTATACAGCTGATGCTCATTCGTTCCTATGTTATACCAGGCCTCGACAACACAATTACTTTGCCACAATGCTGACAACATCCTCATCGGCTACTACATGCCCCAAGCCCACCTTCTGTGGCACGTGCCTGGCACTCGCGCCCCAAACCAATGCATGTTTGAACGTCTCCTTTAGCGTCCGATGAACTTGGTCGCAGACGTCTTCGATCGTGCTTCCGTGCCGTACAATGAGCGCCTCTGAGAAATCTGGGTCGTTGCCCTTCCTCTTGGTGTACACTCTGATCAACCTCAACTCTTCCCAACACCTGTCCACGACGTCTTGAATGCCGAGATCGAGCTCACAGCTCATGACGACGGTGTGTGGCTCGCGTGCTAGTTCATCCAAGTGCGGGAGACCGATGCTATCGATCTTGTTGTACACGTAGAGACACTTGATGTATTTCCTGTGGTCCTTCATGATGACGTCGATGAAGTCGTCGACTGTTGCGTTTTCGTCTCGGACGAGGACTTCGCAGTTGAGCATCTTGTAGTCTTTGAGAATGTTGTAGACCATCTTTTCGTCGAGATGCTTGGGCGGGACCTGGAAGTTGATCTTCATGCCGCCAGCCTTCTTGGGCTTGAGATAGATATTTCTGTGTGTCGATGAGATTCTGCCATGCCGAGAAGAGTTGAAGTGAACTTACGGTGGCTCGCGGTTCAATCTGATACCCACAGCTTCCAACTCGGCTTCCAACAATCGCCTCTGTTCCGCCTTCTTCGTAGCATCGAGAATCATGCAGACAAGATCACTCGTCTTCGCAGCACTAATGACCTGTCTTCCTCGTCCCTTGCCCTCCGCAGCACCCTCAATAATACCCGGTAAATCCAAGACCTGAATCTCAGCACCACCATACTCAAGCACACCAGGAATCGCCGTAAGCGTGGTGAAGGCGTAGGATGCGGCTTCTGATTTTGTCTTTGTGACTCTGGAAAGGAAGGTCGACTTTCCTACCGAGGGGAAGCCAACGAGTGCAATACGCGCATCTCCGGATTTCGATACATCGAATCCTTGTCCTCCACCGGAACCTGCACCTGCAGCGGGTTCGAGGAGCTGTGCGCGGAGACGGGCAAGTTTTCTGTAGCATGGTTAGTATACAGAGACTATATATAGGAGTATAGATAGTGTACCCTTTCAGTAGACCAAGATGATATTCTGTACTTGAATGTCAGCACGTGATACACAGTGCATCCAGTATCAACAGACTGTAATCTGCTTGTACATACCCGTAGCCTTATTCTCTGCATCTCATTAGCGCAAATACCATCAAAAAGCACTGTCCCACTCACTCTGCGTCCTCCTCATCTCATCCTCAATCCTGGCGGGGCGTTAGCGCAAGGCCACATCAAAACTTCGGCGCTATCCCACTCTTTGATCTTCTCCGTAATATTCACCATCTTGACGGTTTACTTCGCACTCTTCGCACGCAGATAGAGAGGGACTGGGGTGAGGATGAACGGTAATCGCACTTTGTGGCGGGCTGCAGTCCGGCAGTATCACGATGGTAAAGGTTTGGTGTTGCAGCGCCCGCAGCCCAGCGCCATTGCGCTTCGGGCCTAGCGCGTGGGCTAGCGAACGCAAGATGCAGTGCGTCATCTGAAAGGCCATGAGCTTTCGCGCCACGCTGGTTTGTTTTGTGTTTCTTAGTGCTTAGTCTTATTGCTTTCTTTCCTATGTTGTGAGTTTCTTACTTCTGTATCGCTTCTCGTTCTGGCTTGGAAGCATGTTGTTTAAATTCGAGGATCCTTGGCCGCGCTCGCATCACGACTTGTTAGATCACTACCACGCTCAATACGATAAAGCTATCGCATCTGGGGAATATCAACCTTTCTTGTATCCATGGGGAACCCTTGGTGCACTTTTTGTTATCATATATCTTCTCATCCCGCATCAGAACCGGCCGTGGCTTGAGAAAGGACGATACTTGGCATTTGCATGGATTGCCGGATTTGCAACTTACAGCAACTTGTACACAAAGGCGAGGGCTGTAGCACCAGCTTTGGGTATCGGTCTGGTCAACGCATGGAGCATAGCATGGGTTGGCGCGATCATAGTGTGCAACGATGCACAGACAGATTTCATGAGGATTGAGAGAACCGAAGGCGTTTTTGGTTGGGATCCAGACCAGCGGAAAGAGAAGACACAACACGATGGAGGTGCAGAGACCAAAGAAGAAATCAAGAATAAGACCTTAGAAGACGACCTCGTCAACAGCACCTCCGGGCCACGAGACCGCCACGGCCAATACGCATGGCAACCCTACCCGCTCCGCCCCTTCATCGAGCGCCTAGACTGGGTACTGGATATATTCTGCAACTTCCGGGGCATGGGCTGGAACTGGCGTACCTCCGCCCTGCCCCCACCCCCCAAACCCATCCAGATCCAACTCGACGCCAACTCCGCATCCACCGTGCCCAAGCACACCTACAAAACCCACGCGGGCCAAGTAGCACAATTCACCTCCCGGCGCTCCCTCCTCCGGCAAAACACCTGGCGCCTCCTCAAAGGCTACCTAGTCCTCGACCTGCTAAAAACAACAATGATGTGGGATCCCTATTTCTGGGGCTTGACAAACAGAGCAGCACCACCCGCCCACCTCCCCTCCTGGCTCACAAGTAGCCGCGTACTAACACACACATACCACCTCCTCCTCAGCATGCTCGCCGTAAAACACGCCCTCCAAACCATCTTCGCCCTCGGCCCCCTCTTCTTCAGCGGCCTCCTCTCCCCTTCTCTCCTCGGCGCCCGCGCGGAACCCTGGATGTATCCTGAGACGTGGGCGCCGTACAGCGTTGTCTTGGATAAAGGGCTCGCGGGCTGGTGGGGCAGTTGGTGGCATCAGACTTTTCGGTTTGCGTTCCAGGAACCTAGTCGCAAGGTTATTGAGTGGGTGGGGTGGGATAAGAGGGGGGTGGGCGCGAAGGCGTTGCAGCTTTTTGTGGCGTTCTTTCTGAGTGGCGTTGTGCATGGCAGTGGGAGTTATACTGCGACTGGGGAGACGAGGCCGGTGAGGGGGCCCATGGCGTTTTTCTTGCTGCAGGCTGTGGGGATTTTTGGGGAAGCTTGTTTGACGCAGGCTGCGAAGGGGGCTGGACTGGGGAAGAATCTGCCCAGTTGGTTGAAGCGGGGATGGACGTTTTTGTACGTTCATGTCTGGTTTTATTACACGGCTCATCTTCTTTGCGACGACTTTGCTCAAGCGGGCGTTTGGCTCTTCGAACCTATTCCTATCTCTCTGTTCCGCGGACTGGGATTCGGACCTGATGCGAGAGATGGGTGGTGGTGCTGGGGCGGACAGCTCGTACGCTGGCATCGTGGTGATACGTGGTGGATGACTGGTATTGCGTTTTAGAAGCTTCTACGGACTCCTACGTGTAAGTCATATGTCGCATCGCGTCTGGTAGATTCCCTACATACAGCACTGTAAACCGATCGATAGATTCCAGAAGGAACAAGACACAACGTTCAGACCCATAGATCCTGTCTTTCATCGCAGAGAAGGTTCCTCCGTTTTCACTTCCTCAGTCACTGCGAAAGACCGGTTGCCTTGCCGTGCGTTACGTGTCCAACCAACACCCGTTTTCTCTATTTTACAGCTGACTTCCACCTGTTCGTACACATACCTCTTACCAGTCGCAAATACGCCCACGCTTCCAAATCCCCTCTGCCATCAGAATCTCCACTACGCACGTCTTCCACACGTAACTCGATCGACCCTCAGTCCTTCAAAGCGTTGATGACAGATCCCGCCCCCTCGCCCACAGATCTCATATTCAACCTAACATGGCGCTACCTTTCCCACGCCGCCGTCCCCGCCATGCTCCCCTCCAACGCTCTCGACGCCAACGGATCTATCCCACGGTCCTTTTGTCCAGACGTGTATGATGGGGTGAGGAAGACGGTGGGGGAGATGGGGGAGGAGGCGCAGTGGGCGGTTTGGTATTGGGTTGTTGGGCCTGGAGATGGGGGGAGGGAAGGGGAGAGGGATGAGGATGGTGGGAGAGATGGTGGTGATGGGCAGGGGGATGACGGGAGGGAGAGAGTAGGATGGCATCCGTGTTTTAGGCTGCCTGCGAATCGGTGAGTGCGGGGAGTTTTGATGGGGAGGTGGTGTGGTTGGGGTTGAGTGGGTTGGGTGCGGTGTTTGGTTGTTTGGTTGATCGGTCACTGACAACGGACATTGGATAGGCGCGTCGTCACACGGAACGTCCTCTCCTCACCTACCTCCCTCCCTCATACCAACCCTTCCGCCAATACCAACACCATCCCATCACCCCCCGCTCCTCCTCCACCCCGCCGCCGCTCAATCTCCTCCTCTTCCTATCTATCCACGAACCCGGACCATCACGTTTCGAACATCCTCTCTAATCCCATGTCCAATCCACGCAGCACCCACAGCCGCCGATCAAGTGCCGACACAACGCGTAGAATGAGTTCCGTTCGTGAGGAAAGTAAGAGCGATGAGGGGAGTGTGGAGGCGGCGAGTGAGAGTGTGAGTGAGAGGATAAGGAAGAGTACGAGTTTACATGTTAGGCCAGGGATGATTAGGAAGTAAGTGAGGAGGAGGTGGACAGGGTGGGGAGTGTATTGGATAGTTTGATGGAAGTTAACGGCAAGGATATCAGAGAGGAGGGTAGCAAAGCCAACAAGCACATGTATCGATCACGCAAGACCTCGCCTTCCTGACCATCACAGACCAACCCATCCGATGAAAACCTAAATCCCACTCCCACTGCCACTCTTCCGCCAACCCCACCGATCCCCCCCTTCCCCTGTCTCCTTCCCCAATCCATTTTGAGAAAAGCCACGACGCAACAGCTCTACACTCCATTCGAGGAAGAACTTCGGAATCTTTACTCCCACCCAACCCTGTCTGTCCTACCTTCAATACTTAAACTTTCCCTCGCGTCAATCCCCACCCCAAACCTCAGTCCAACAACGCGTCATAAACCTGAAACGCATAAACGACACACACACACCAAGGATGGCCGTCAATCACGTCATGCAGCGCCTTTCGCGACCATGACAGCATTACCGAGATGAAGGCTTTTCATGCAGGACCATTGTCAGTCGCAAGGCTGAAGCGAGATGTCGAGTCAGTTGTTCCTTGCAACACCAAGAAAAGATGTTCGACTCAGCTCAGCTCAACTCAACTCAACTCAGCCGTTGGGAGTGAGTAACGCCGAATCTAGTAGAGAAAGCGGAAGGTGGAGATGGCAAATGGGTAATGATGGTGATAAATAAATATAGTACATACACGCGCCACACTCTATAGCACATGGCACAAGGCCCAGTCCAGCCCGGTCCGTCTAGCCACACACACCTACACACAGCCCGACCAAACCAAACCGAACAAACAAAAGACCGCGCACCGACAACAGCAGCGCATCTCGCAGCAGGGTATCGGAAAGAAACTCGGAAGAAAACGATCGCGGAAAAAACAAACAAACCACGATCTCAACGACCATGAACAAAAAGACCCGAGATGCGATGCGATGCGATGAGGGAAAAAAAAAGAAACATTATGACTTTGTATGTGAGGGTTGTGCGTCGCCGCAGATATTGTGTAGTAGGTCGTAACAGCTCTTACAACAAGAAAAGTAGAAAAAAAGAAAAGGGCAACCGGAATGCCCTGCCCACCCAATCAAGCAGACCCAAGAATCAAGACTGACTGACACCATCAAACTCCTCAAACGACCAATGCAAATGATGTCGATATGCCGCTAAACCGCGTGAATCGTTCCTTTTTGGCTTTTGAACTGTGTCTCTCCTCGTATGTCTTTGTGTTGTGTTGTACGTATGGTATGGTATGGTATGGTATTATGACTGCGCTTCGATGATGGTGGGTTGCGAATTAACCTGTAGGGTAGGCGTAATGGGGTATGGTAGGTATTGCTCGTGCTGCTGCTGGTGTGAAGTGTCGGTGGGGTGATTATCTTCTTGCGTGTGCGGCCGTGTGCCTGTATCGGGGCCGAGATGGGGATCTGGTATTTGGACGTCGAGCTGTGGAAAGTTAGTTAAATGTAGTTTAATTGAATGTGTCTTGGTATACGCACTGTCAGGTATCCAGTCCGCCGTAGTGGGATTATGCGGACTGCTTCTTTGGACCCGATGTCGCGGTTCCAATCTTCGATCCAGCGCTCGAGGTCGGCGAGTTGCTTTTTTACGCCGGTGAGGCCCGCATCTTCCCAGAGCCAGAAGGTCGCGATGCCGAGGACGGTGTCGAGGCAGGCGCGGAAGGTGAATGGGTCGAAGGCGTCGACGAGGGTATCATTAATCTTCTTGATGAGTATCCGGAAGTCGTCTTCGGTGACGAGGGGGTCCAGGATCTCGGGGTAGAGATTGGCAAACGTCGGGGCCAGGTCGCCCTTCATCATCCAGTCGCGCTTTATGCGGATAATGCGCGTCGTGTTGTACAGCTCGGAGTCGAGTGGCACATGCGGGTTGGGATGGGGAAAGCAGGGATGCGAAGGGCCCCAGGGGAACTCGGACACGGCGTCGGCGTCGTCGTCAGCTGCAGACCCTGATCGTCTCGAGTGCAGTGAGGTGCGTCCGGAGCCGGGCAGAGACACGCGCGACAGGCCGGCGGGCTGGTGGTTGCGGCCGGCTTCGATGTCTTTGTCGGCGTGGGGCGCGGGCGAGACACTGTCCCTGGGGTTGGCGGCAGAGGCCATGACGAGGCCTGGCGTGGGCGGCTGGCTCCTGCGATCACGCGGAAGGGCGATGCTGGTGCGACCGCTGATGCTGTCCTCGCCCGTGGAACGCTGGACGGCGAGGGAGCTCGGCGCAGGGCTCTGGCGACTCAGGCGGCGCTCGGGAAGCGAGAGCAGCGGGTACTCGTCGCGGCCGTCCTCTCTGGCCTGCGTCTCAAAGTCGCGCTCAATGGGCAGATTGGGATAGTGGTCGTCGCGGCGCGGGGGCAGGGCCTGGGGCGCAGGCGGCGGGTTCTGGATCTGGAGGGTGCGCGGCGACGAGTTGACGGGGTTCCAGAGACGCGAGGCGGGCTGGCGCGGCGGGCCCTGGTACAGCGCGCGCAGGTTGAGGTTGAAGATGCGGTTGGTCAGCGACCAGCGGGCGGGCACTGGCGACGCAGCAGGCGGCGGGTAAGCAGCGGAGGGCGGGCGTGGAGTCGTCGTCGTGCCGGTGGTGAACGGGCGGTGCTGGGTGGTGGTGAATTCCTTAGGGGTCCCAAGGGCAAGTGGTCCATGCTCATTGCAGCATTGCCTGCCGACAAGACCAAGTTTGCCGTGGGTGCTGTACTGTTGGGGAAGAAGGAGCAGACAGCGGGGAATCAGGTGTGGTGGATGAGTGCGCTGCACTGTTATGGCAGGACGTCGTCGTGTCGTGGTCGCCGTGGTCAGTGTCGCAGTGTTGGTGTCAACGTCTCACACGGCGGGTTTGGCAATAGCAGAGACAGAAACGGGCCATAGAATTAACTTTTGTCGCGTGCAGCAAAAGGAGCACTCAAGGGCAGCACCGGGGAGAGGAGTGAGGGCTTCCTTCTTCTTGTACACGACACGACACGTCCGCCTCGTCCGGCGCAACTTGGGCACCTCCCAGACCAGGCTCATGAAAAAGCGCCTGCCTGCCATGGCTTGTGCAGGCTGATGACTGCCCTGCCGCATCACGCTGACCCCTGCCCCTTCACCCATCCCTCACCTATCCCAGGCACTGTGCCTGCATTAGCCCGGACAATCCTGACCATCCCTAACATTCCCATCCGACTGCTGTCAATCTTAAGCATACTCGACATGCATTCCCTCTCCTACGGTGATACGTTGGCGGGCACACCCTCGCCTGCCGTCACCGTTGACATCCGCCGTCCGCCTCCGCTGTCGCTCACATGACCCTGACCCGGACCATGACGTTGGCGTACGCCTAGAGTACACCAGCCCAGCCCTGTTTCACAACACAAATCAATGTCCACACGATCCTCCTAACACAGTCTGTATCTCGACTAACCCGCTCAATCGCCCGTCATAATCGTCATCATCACCATCACCATCATTATTAACACACGCATGACTCCACGCCCATCACCCTCACACCCCCGTCCCCCTTCTCAATGCTAACCCTCCTAACCCTCCATCCATCTCACACGGCCACACCCATGAGTAGCAACTCCCCTTCCACCAATTACCCACACATCAGCCACATCCCCGGCAAGCCCTGTCAGCTCTTTACCCAGAACCGCGTCGTCGGGATTCCGCGCACTTGCTCTCCTCTGAACAGCGTCAAGTCCGTGTGTTCGACCTGAACCCCTTTTCTGGCGTTTACTTCCGATGACTAGTCTGTATATGATGTCAGCCGGCGATGTCTGTGCTGGTGGCGATGCGGTGCGAGGCTGGCTGTTTGCAGCTTTGCCGGGTGGGGAGAAAGAGAGGTGGTCTAGTGGGTTGTGGCTTGCGGCGTATTGTCGTGATAGTTAATCCTGTCCTCAGCCTCACTTTTCCCGTTATCCAGGATCGTCGCTTGTGTAGGGAGTGTAGACGGCGACTACGCTTCTCATATCCTGGGTATAACACTCTTATAATGATAACTGCACATCCTATTACTGTCGATCTATAAAGCACATACTGATCATTTCACGAATGGAGTCGATATGCCGGTTCATATGCTCTCGTATTGCCTACTAATAGATGCAAGATTTGTGTACCGTACCGCAGATTCGTATATAAGTAAAAATATCAACACAAATATCCCGCCCTCATGTAATGGTATATCCTTCGCGTTGCTCGTCGATATGCCAGTCCGTATCCAACCCTTATCGTGACCTGACCCGAACCGAACTTCCAAACCCGCTCGCAGAGCTCAAAGGCTCTCACAAACAACAACTACATATCTACCTACCTACCTACTTACAAAACCGAAAGACGTTGTTTTTCGTACGTACGGGACCCGCCGACTCTCTCTCTCTCGGGACATCGTATCGTGATCCAAAGAAAAGGAGAAGAAAAAAAGACAAGGAAATATAGGTATCCACAGCTAAGTGTGTCGGTTAGCATTCGCCTGCATCTTCCTCATAGCCTCACGATGCGCATCCATCATCTGCCCACTGCGCATCATACTATCCATCTGACTCGCCCGCTGCTGCTGCATCACCTCGCGCTGCTGCCTCTCCATCTCCTTCTGCCGACGCTCCATCAACAGCGCCGCGCGCTGCTGTTCCGCAACGTGCGCAGCCGTCTGCGCCGGCGGCGCAATATCGCGCATCGTGTCGCGCCACCCCGCGTAGAGTTGCTCGCGCTTCTGCTCCGACTGCGCGCTCGAGGAGCGCTTGGGTTGGTGGCTGTCGAAGCCGGCGGGCGCGCCTCCTTTGGTGGCCCAGGCTTTGTTTTGCCATTTTTGTGAGGACGAGGGGGGTGTGCGGCCGGGGGAGCGGAGTGAGGGTTGGTGCGAGAGGGAGGGGGAGAGTTGTTGGGCTTGGAGGAGGGCGCGGCGTTGGGATAGCGTCATGTCTTCGTCGTCGCCGCCGCCGCGTTGGGAAAGGTTGGGTGACGACATTTGGGGGGTGAGGGTTAGGGCTGAGGCGCGGTTTTTGATTAGGCTCTCGCGCTTGCTGAGGAGGGTGTTGGTGGGGAGGGGCGAGAGGGTGTCGAGTCTGATGGCGGAGTTAGAGCGGGAGAGGACCTGGGGAGAGGCGATGGAAGGGGAGTGGGTGAGGGATCGCTGGTTGACGAGTGATTCTTGAGAGAAGGTCGAGGTGTTGCGTCGGAGTCCTTGGCTGCTGTTTCTTTGTGTTCGGCTGCCAGTTGACATCCTTCTTGATTCGCGCTTGCTCTCGTACAGGAGCTCGTCACTGACTGGTGTGGGCTTTTCTTCCGATCCGTCGGCGAGCATGATACCGGGTGATGAAGGCAGGAACATGTCTTCGTAGTCTGGCTTCTCAGCAGCCTCGAGATGCTTCGCCCATTCGTTCGTGCGGTAAGATAGGGCGATTTTCGACAGCTTCTCCGGCATCACGTTCTCAGTCAGACTGCCAACCTGTGATCCGCCTTGCTCCATCTGTGAGCCTTGAGAGATTTCATCAGACTTGGTAGACTTGGAGTATTTCTCGCTGCTCGCCTTGGAGCTAGACATGACTGTGTCAGCCCTGTGCTTGAATGTCTGTTCCTTGGGCGAGTCTGCTGTCTTTGGGTCGGTACTAGTCGTGAGAGACTTTACCACATCAACCGTGTTCACTACGCTCTTCCGGTTAGGCACAGTGTCGGAGTCCTGTCTCTTGAGTCCGGGCTTTTCAAATGGGTTGTCGTGCTCGGTTCCGATTGGTGATTCGACTGGGGATAGATTGCGAACGGACAGGACATCGAGGTCGTCGTCCAGAGTGGCGGCAATAGACGAAGCGCGGTCGTCTTCGTCGCCCCGCATTCCGATCAAAGCCTCTTGCGATGCTATTATGTCCCTAGAGATACGTTGCCTCATTGCGGAGACATCAGAAACACGCTTCGAGAGGCTCCTGGGCACCTCGGCATCGTGATCAGTCTCAGGAACAGCGGAGACGGAGGTATTGTCATCGTCAGTGTGCGCCTCATCTTCGGTAGGGACTTTGAACGGAAGTGGGACGACGGCTGGAGGTGGCGGCGGGGCTGTAGGGCGTAGGCTGTTGCTTTTGACTAGAGTAGGCCTCGAGTCATCCTTAGGAGCCTCTGGAAGAGCCTTTTCGTCCTGCGCAGTGTGGGCCTCGGGTTCGATTTGTTGAATAGCATCGTCATCCAGAACAGCGACAGTGACGGTGGCGTCGGGCTTGGCGGTGCGGCTGGCAGATCGCATCATTCCGGTTGACATGTTGACCGTTACCGCGCTGTCGTTGGGAGAAACCTCCTTCTCATGGACATGAGTAAGGTCTTTGGGATCCGACGTGGAAGATCGGACACTGTCCTCGGGTACGTTCTGTCCGTTGCCGTATGCAGCTTCCCATTGAGCACGTTCTTTCTGGAAGACCTCCTCGACCTTGCGACCTTGTTCCTCCTCTTCACGGTCTTGATCCGCCTGTCTTTCGAGTTGTTGAGCTGCAGTCTTTGCGCGGTGCTCTTTGACTAGCTTCCAGACACGCAGCTGGGAGACGATACTGACTACTGTGATAATGACAACACCAGCCAGCTCGGCTTTGATGTTCTTGGTAACCGGGTAAGTATTGGTGTTAAGAGGGAAGATGTCATCGTTAAGATCTGCAGAGGTTAGCAATAGTTTACGGATACTGCGCGGCAACTTACTCCAGAGGTAAAGCCAGAACTCCTTCCAGCCGGAACCAGCCAGGCAGTCAATACCAAGGATGGCAGCGGTGGCCCCGGAGAAGGCGATTGAGGCGATGAGACCGTAGTTACGTGTGTAGTGACTGAAAGCAAGCGAGTAACCTCCAGCTGACATGCAACCAATGAAGATGGCACGACCAGTTCCTGAGGTGATCAGGCCACCGTCCTTGACGCTGAGGAACCACATGCTTAGACAGAAGCCACCGAGTAGGCAGCCAAAACCTTCGGCAATGTCTGCAAAGACCAATGACAGGACTCCGAAGATCACTCCAGTGAAGAAGGCCGCCACGAAGAAGGCTCCCTGGATGGCATCCGAGACAGGAGGGTTCATCAAGTATACTATCAGAACAGTGACGGCGAGAGCGGTCAGGTAGGCAGCAGACCCGAACACGTATACCCTTCTCTTTGTCAGTATAGGTTGGTAGATGGGTGTCAATGTACATACCACTTGTTCTTGATACCAATGATGGCATATCCTAATCCACTGAGTAGCAATAGCACTCCAGTGACGCCCATAGCGGGGGTCAGCTTGGGGTGAATGGGCAGTGGGTTTTTGGGGTCCGCGGAGGCACTCTCTACATTACATTATTAGCTATCTCATAATATTTCTCACCACATAACTTACCAGAAGACTCTGCTGGAGTAGCATCATCAGATGGAGTCGTAGTAGGGACATCATTGATAGAGCTCGGTGCCGGTGTCTCTGATGGCTTGACCGAGGAAGCTTCAGTCGATGAAGGGCGTTCAGACTTAATGCTCGAAGAGATTATTCCCGATGGAGTGGGTGTGGCAGAAGGCTGACGAGACGCACTGTCCTGAGCCTCACGCGTCGACTCCGCGGAAGGAGTGTCATCCTGTCTACGGACAGCAGCATGAGGAGCTGCAACCGCAAACTGTAGGCATAGAGCAAGCGCAAGACAGAGAACCAAGTAGTGACCAGAAAAGCGCATGGCGATTATGCGGTGTAGACGTGTCTACAAAGAGCCAAATGCCATGGAGAAATTACGATTAGGATTGGAACTCGCGTCTGAACGGTCCTCCGAGGATACTCGAAGAGGAAAGCGCGACTCCTGATATGCAGCGAGGTGGTGTCTGCAACAATGACGCACGAGCAAAGATGTCGAAAGAGCAAAAATCGACGTGGTAAAGACTGTTTCAAGGAGCGAGATCGGATTACTAGTAGTAAAAAGAGCGAATGAAGAAGGAGTGTGGTAGGCACAAACGGCCAATACGCGAATGCAGGATATGCAAGTGGTGCAGACGAGATGCAGAAAGCAGGTAAACGGAAGGTGGAGGCGCACCTGGGCATATATCAGACGAGAGAAGCCACATGGGTGAGC